TGAACATACTGTGGACTGCCAGGGAAACAAACAGGTCTGTCCTAGAGAGGGTAAAACCAGGCTGTTTCCTGGAGACAATGATTCTGAGGCTCCATCTCACATATTCAGGGCATGTGCCCAGGAAGGACCAGTCCTTGGAGAGGGACATCATGCTTGGAAGGGTGGAGGGACAGCGCAGAAGATGACCCAGGGTGAGATGGATTAATTCAGTGACTGGAGCAACAGGATCAGGTCAGAATGAGATCAGTTCAGGACAGGGTAGGTTTCAGCGCTAATGTACATGGGGTCATTATGAGCCGCAGGTAACTAACTCAGTGGCACACAACATCTTTTTTTTCTTTTAGATCCATGGCCTTTTTTGCCGAGGGGCTACATGAACAGGACGAAGCAGGAGGAGTGGCTGGTGCTGATGCCAGGCGAGCAGTTTGAGACTGGTAGTTGATGGAGAACTCACCCAGGTAGTGGCCGATCATCTTGGGCTTGATATCCACCCACAGCCTCAGGCAGATGATCAGGTCCCACAGGTGCATCTTCGCCAACTCTGGCTTCTCCATGGGAGGCGCCCCTTCAGGCTCTGTGCAGTCGCTTCAGCAGGGAAGTGCTGCTTCCTGCGCAGGCCACAGTTCAGCCACTGAATCTGCCAGGTGCTGTAGAGCTGCAACTACTTGCAGGACATGTCCAGCAGCTGGTCCAGGTCCACACCTCAGTTGGTCAACTTGCGGAATGTCTACTTCTTTTTCTGCTCCACTTCTGCCATCTTGTTGAATCTTCGGAAAAGAGCTTTTGATTTCTTGAATACTGTTATTATAGGTGTTGATTGTAGATCCAAGTAAAATGAAATTGGTGACAACTTCAATTATCTTTTTATAAAATTTATTATTAATTTCAGTGAAAATTTACAGACTTTGGATTTCCATTCATTCATTGTTGTACTTTTCTCCCCTCCCAACCCCCCCCCCCCGGCTCCTATCCCCCGCAGTGCACTACCCTCTTGGAAAAGTAAAATTATTTCATTGGACAACTTCAATATTTTCTCTATCATGATGCTACCAATTGGTCCAATGGAGTTTTTGTTTTTGTTTTTGTTATGTACTATCAAGTCAGAACCAACACGTACTGACCCTCCAGCAAGTTTCCAGAGGCAGTAAATCACACGGAAGGAGATGGCCTATCTTTCTCCCACAGAGTAGCTATTTGAACCATGCACCTTCAGGCTAGCAGCATAACTCCTTACAACTAAGCCACCAGAGCTCCTTGGTGAGTTTTATTTTCTTGATGTTGACATATTGAAGGCTCTAGTGTTTGATCTTCTAAGCAAGTGCTTAAAGTCTTCTTCACTTTTGCATAATGCAGGTTTGTTGAGTCTTCCTCCAATCCTGAGGCCAAATTTTTCTTCAGACTTCTCCTGTTATGTGCCAATGAGTCACGACTCATAGCGACCATATATACAATAGCTCTGAACCTTGTCCTATCCTGAACCAATCTCATTGTGTCCAACACATCTACCCTCATTACCCATTACTGAGTCAATCCATCTCATTCAGGGTCTCCTCTCCTGCACTGTTCCTCCACTCTTCCAAGCATGATATCCTTCTCCAAGGACTGGTCCCTCCTGGCAACAACCCCAAAGTATGTGGGACAGAGCTTAAAAATCCTTGCCTCCAACGAACAACTTGGTTTCACTCTCTCCAGGTCAGACCTGATTATTCTCTTGGCAGTCTATGCTATGTTGAATAATCTTCCCCAGTCCAACTCAAAAGCACTGATTCTTCTGTCATCCTTAGTCATTGCCCAGCTGTCTGATGCACAGCAAGCAATGACATGGTTTGGATCAGGTGCACCTTAGTCTCTAGACTGACATCATTGCTGCTCTTCAGTACTCTGGAAAGGTCCCTGAAGGCATATTTCCCCAATGCAATTCATCTTTTGTTAGGCTGTTCCTTTTGCTTAAGATGGAACTGTCAACCTACCACAACACAGGGTAGCCACAGGCTGGTCTACATGTTAAGTTGGCCCTTGGACAGGCTGTCATGGGTATTATATACCACTCTCAATGATGTAGATGCCCACTCCAGAACCTTCCCACTAGATCCTTGGTAAAAATTACCTAACTTGGCTATATCCTCCACCATGGGGCCCAGTCCAGTGTTGCCCCAGCCAACTCTCCTCAAAAACCATATTGTCTGAAATGCATTAGGTTCCTAGCAAGAATCCAGCAGTCATTTGGTCTCTTGTCACTAGTGTAACTGAGTTCAGCTCTCTTGTCGCAGCACGTTGTGGCTATTGTGTGCCATCAAGTCATAACCAACTCAGAGCTGACCCTCTACCGGGTTTTCAGAGGCAGTGAATCACATGGAAGATCTTGCCTTCTGCAAAGCAGCTGGTGAATGAGAACATGCATGCATGCCTTTGAGACTGACTTCAGCGCAGCTCTTACCACTGGGCTAAACTGACAAAACCAAAGGGATGTGACTCGGGTCAACTGTGGTAGGCAGGCTGTTGAATCCAAAGGCTGGTGAAACTCAATTCTGCTGTAGCTATGCTCCCCTGTAGGATCAAGGGTAGGGGTCAAATTCCTTTCCAGCTTGGACACATCTGTGCTTTCACAGTAGGGACCAGGATTTGCGAGGTATACAGGGCAATGCTGAGTGGGTTTTGGTGCCTCCAGTTAGCCAGTCCAGCTTGAGGTCAGTAGTGATGACCTATAAAGGATCTGAGACCACATCACTATATGCCACCCCAACCCTCCCTCTGTAGTCAGTTGGTGCTGGACTGAGAAACAACTGGCACAGGTGAGGCAGAGAGACAATGAGTTGAACAAGTCTAAGTCCAAATCCTGGCATGGAGAGGCAACCATTAAGCAGGGAGAGCTAAGCTTCAAATACCCCTGGTGAAGTGACACAGCCAGCTAAAAGGATCACCTGTCCATGACTGTGGTCAAGGGTAGGGTGGGTGGCCAGGATCCAAGTGAAGTCAAGAGTCATGTAGCCTAGCCAGTAACAGCTTTGGAACCAGACACATTTACAAGGAGTTAGGTTTGGGGAGGTAAACTTAAGTGTAGGGTTCCTTTTGGTGACCTTTTGACTTGGTTTCTTGGGAAAATGACTTGGGAGATTCCTCTCTATGCCCTGAGTTTTTTTAACTTTGCATGACTTTGGAGAAATAGGGGTGCTTGGGGGTGGGCAGCTGCTCCCAGGTTGTTTTTCACTTTAGAGAATTTGTTACTTTTCTCAGGAGATTCCCAGTTTCATTACCATTTCCTGATAAACCATAAAAAACTTTGGTAGTTTTCCCATTACAAAAACATGAGCTGTCATCTTCTTGGCAATTCATCTCTGGGCTAGTGAGGGAAGCCCTGCCTTTTAACTGATCAACAAGATATATAAACAACTAAAGGCCGAAGTTTAAGGCCATCTGCCTGGAAGGCTGAGAGCTAGGCAGGCAGAGCAGCAAAGTCCCATGAGTGCCTTCTGGTCCTGAAGCTGCTACAATGGCCATTAGCAGAGCCAGTTAGTAGCAGAGGCTGATGACAAAGCAAGTCACCCTTATTGAAAAGCCTTATTGAGAAGCCACACTTATTGATCACTAGAGGGCGGTGCACTTTCTGATACTGACCCAGGGCCGCAGCCAATTACTTCCCTAAATCATGTAACCATGAACCATGAACATGGTTTACTCTATGCAGTCACTGCAACAAATTCTTAAACAATGCAGAGAGGCAGCACTTTCCCAGGGAGGAAAAGCAGTTATTAAAATGGTGAACTAATTAAAGCAGCAGAGAGTATGCCTGAGCTCTGACAGGAACCAGCTTTGTGCAGATTCTGATTTTTCTCCCTCATGAACGGAACTTAATCATTATTCCATGACCATACCCAGAGAACCACAATGAGAGGAGCTGGTTTGTAGTCCCACAGTGCTCCGGCAAGACATGGCTGTGCACTCCTCAAGCAAAAAGGGGACAGAGTTGAAGAGACAGTCTCCCGGCCAGCATTAATAACCAATGCACATCAGGCTAACCTGCTTTGACAAATGTTTAATCCTTCCCTCCTCTGCATCCCAAGGCAAATGGCCCAGTACCGCCAACCTCCACACAAAGGTTCACACACAGAGATCAGTACAAAAGCCAACACTTTAATGAGATGGGGAGGCAACAGCACAGACGTACCACTACAACGGATAGCGCCAGCTGTGCACACCACCGTCATAACAAGCGAGCAGAGGGACAAACTACAAACCCTTCAACATTCCAAAGGTCCTGAGTAGAGAGAATTGTTTATTTAAACCACATAAAATGCATATATAGGAAACTTCTCTATTTCGGAGCTGGTGGCCCGCACGCAGCATTGCACAGATAAAAATATACGACTTTTCAACACAGATCGAAATACCTTCACATTTTAAAAATCAGAGTTCTCTACACAAGTTTCAAGCTGACAGAATCCAAGTTGAGTTTTCATATACAGCTTTCACTTGTATTAAACACATGTTTATTTACAATGTGGACAGAGAATAGGGGGGCTATTAAGGCCATTTTCTCATATTGTACTGTTAAACACTGCAAAATATGTACATAAGTACAACCTAATATAGGCAAAGATTCTAAAAATCATTTTTCTTGGTTTAACGTAATTGAGCATCAGTATTAGGGAGAGGAGACAGCTTGTCATTAGCACCGAGCTCCACCACCATCACCATATGCGGTTCTGTTCCTTCCAGCAGCCAGCAGGCTGGGGGTGGGGGGTGGGGGATGTGCCCTGTGCTCAGATGGGTGTATACCTGGCACCCAGACACATGATCTTGTGTGGATACACAGGCCAGCCAACTGAAGAACATCTCGCTGTCCTCAGTTCCACCTCCAAATTCATAACAAGTCCAAAGAGTCAATGGCATTCCCAAAGGGAACCACAAAAGAGACAGTCAGAGTGTGTGGCAAGAGGGCAACAGGCAGGACTCCATGCCCCAAACAGCAGCTGGCCAGCAGCCACCATCAAGCCGCATGCTCACCTACGGTGCCTGCTGTGCCCAGGGTGATCTCGCTCATAGCGGCGGCCTGCTCGATCATATGACCGAGAACGCTCCCGCCTCTCATTTCTGTAATAATGACTTTTCTTCTTGTATTTCCCAGGATTCTCTGAACGTTCCCTAGAGCGGCTTCGGGAGCGAGAGGAGCTCCGGCTCCGGGACTTTGGAGGCTTCTGGGTGGGGTATTTACAGTCTCTTGACTTAGTGTAGCTCCTCACCTTGGAGCCTTTGTATGGGGCACCAGGGCGCACCTGTCTTGGAGGTGAGTCACTGCGGCTCCTTGACCTGCTCTGAGACTTGGACCCACTGGAAGATGAGCCACTGTCACTTTTCCTAGTGGGGATAGGAAACACTTCAGTTCCATTAACCACCCATCCCCATAGACACAGTATAGGGGGCTCAGATACTCGGACCACCACTCCACAGGGAACCATGCTTCCAACCACCTGCCCATTTATCTCCCAGGTAAACCAAGCAGCTCATACCTCCTTTTTGGAGAGGCAGACCCTGACCGGGACCTCGAGGGGCTCTGCTCACGGCTCCCGCTCCGGCTCTCCCTCCCCTTTGGCAAGCTATAGGGGAGAAAGATCTTCAAGTCAGATCTGGGTTTCTCCATCAGCCCCCAGCCAACACAAAGGCAGTACACAGTAGTGGTCTTACCCGTTCACCGGGCTATCAGCCTTAGCTTTTTTTGAAGCTTCTGCTTTCCTCTTGGTATTCTTCACAGACAACGGAGAGGGCTTACTCCCTTTGCCTTCTTTGGGGGATTCTGCCAGAATCAAATACAGATCATCAGAAAATCATTTTAAAAAGAGCAAGAGGCAGCAGAGTAAGACACAGTCACTCCATGGGATAGATGAAGACACAAGCCGACAGGGACATCCTGCTTCAAGCACAGGACTCAAAACTTCATAGAAACCAGAGATGTAAACAAACTGTCCCTCGTTCTTTGGGGTCAGAGGCTTCAAGTCAAGGTTGTACAACTCACTGCCCTAAATTTACAAACTTTTCATCAAAGAGCAGTTAACAGTAAATTCTAGCAATCTGCCCATGTCTTCTGCTGGGAGTGTAGGAACAATGCACTGCTCTAGACCTCTTCACATTTTCAGGTCTCCAGTGGTCAGTGCAGCCTGACAAAGTCAGCTCTAGTAAGCTGCTGATTTAAGAGCGCAGGAAGGCTCTTAGGGAAGGCAAGGATATTTCCAGAGAAGGGCTCAAGCTCCGTACTCTCCACACTCACCGAGCTTGAGGGCAGGCGAGAACCCAGAGGTGCTGTCCAGAACTTGTGTGCTGCTGGTGAGCAGGCCCTTTGCTTGTGCCTTTGCCTCCTCGATGGCATGCTTTCTCTTTTCCACTTCGCTTTCAAGTTGGGTCAGATCAACCTGCAAAAGCCACCACCAATTTAGAACTAGATGGTTCTTGTCAAATACACACACTACATGTCAAATGAAAAAACAAAAAAGAACCTTTTTCCGAGTATACAGCTGCAAGATTTTTAAGCAAATCTCTTGGATTTCTTCTTCAGTTGCTCCAAACAAAAGAAACCAATGAGGACGATTAGGCAGGGGAATCTGTGAACACAAACACAGTCACATTTATCCAGGCACATCAGCTCAGCAAGGGGCCCTAGGGCCTCAGAAGGGTGTGTGCTTTGAGTGGCACAGCAGGGGCCAAACTGTCACAGTACACAATCTCAGGGCAAACACTGACCTCAAGCGTGCGTGCAGCGAGGTAAATACAGGCGCAGGCAATGCTCTCAGGCTGGAACCTCACAAACACATCTGTGCGAAGGCTGTCGTTCATGTAGTTCCTGAAAATCAAAAGGAGAATTGCAGCGCCTGGTATCCAGACCTCCATCCTCATGTCTATTCAAGGTGCTTCCCCCTAAGTGGCCTACTGCCAGGGTTAAGGGCTCGGCAGTCACAGGAGCCTCAAGAGCTAGTGAGGAGACAACCTAGCTGCTTTTTCTTATACAAGACAGGGAGACAAACTATAAAAAAACAATAAACAAAAAGCTGGCTGAATGTCAGACAATACATATTGCTATGAAAGAGAACCAATTTTAACTTCGCTTTTCCCTCAGTCTTGGCCTGTTTTCATGCAAAGCACAAATGCCTCAGGAGGAAAATGTCCACTGTAGTGGTTAAAATGCAGCTCAATAAAGAAGTCTAAATGCTCAAAATCCACAGTGCAGAGAAACATGCAAACTCAAAGAAAGGGGCTGAGCATAAGCCCAGAGGCTTTTCTAGGTCAACATCCTCTTCAGGTCCATCCTCTCAGGGGCATGCATCCTGTCCTCTGATGACTGAAGCATGGCTTCTCAAGGGAGTCCACTTAGGATTGGTTGGGGAAGGTGCCCTTGGTGCAATCTAGGCGCATGGCGACATCCTGCAGGAGGGTCAGCACCCCAAGGAAGTCCTCTTCTCAGCCTTTATTAAAGAACCATTTCCAAATTGTCCCATTGCAACAAGGAGTCTTAAAGTGAACATTCATAAAATCAGACAACAACAACAAAATACTAAATACATCATCATTTTAAACTTTCATCCTCATTTTTAAACTTTATCATACTTCATAAAGATAAGAAAATAGAAAAATACATTTTCTAAAAAGTTAAAAAACTTTTAAAATTTTTAGAATCTTACACATTTTTCTCTAGATATATTTCCCTGGGTATTTAATAGACTAACACTAGACCCCCATACTGGCTACATATCAATACTGCTGATATAAAATTACTTCCACAGTTAAGCGGACATTTATCAGTTGAACATGTGTTTACCACTCCTAACAGACCCCACTGTGGCCACCCTCAGGCCAGGCTGCACTCATAGAGCTCAGGCCCACTACTATTTGTTCACACCCCCACCCTGGGCTCTTTGCCCTTCAACCCCGGATGATGTTTAAATGGTCACGTCTACAGATGCTACCTCCAATATCTGGTTGGAGGCTCTGGGCCCCAGGAGTGACCAAGAAGCACTTAGCAGACAGTTCAAATATTTTAAACATAACCATCAATAGAGACTTTTTTCAATTCCAATAAAAAAAATTTTCCGTTCTCAATCAGTGAAAATAACATTAACCCGTTAACTTTTTATATCCTAAAAATACAAATTTTTCTAAACATACATTAAACTTATTACTCTATGTAAAATAAAATACAATATTGTAAAAAGTATTCAAGGGATAATTTAAAGATGCACACCTTTTACTAAACACCACTTCTCAGCTGCTGAGAAGAGCAGCCTGAAGACAGCACCTAGAATACCACCACCCCATCGTCGAGTACCCAATGGCCAATTTATCATCTCCATTCTTACTGCCTTCCATAGGACTATTTTTTTTTTAAATATAAAGAAAAAGGTGTTGCATCTTTATTATACAGACAAAGTAAATTTAAAAAGACAAAATTCAAGTGGAGACAGTTATCAACTCTAACCAGTACATTATCAAGGCAGAACAGAGGATGAACAGAAGCACAGTCCCAGAGAACCACACGTAGCACCGGCCATTACTATACTATCGTTGGCATACCACCGGTCTAGAGCCAGCCTTCTGTGGAGAGCCTGCATTGGATTGGCTGAAGACGGCCGCTGTCCTGCACCAAAGCGCTTGGACAGCAGAGGAGAAGTCTTAGTCACTTACCCTCAGAGGCTACCCTTTGATTAAAAGAGTACAGAAAAGAAAAGTCAAAATAGGTTCTCTATTAAATACATCATAGCACCAGACAATTCAGTCAGCAAAAATATGACCCTTACAAACTCAATGCCAAAGAAAAATTTACCAGGGCACCCCAAACATGAAATGATTACTCTAAGTTTCAAGTCTAGCATACCCATTGTTACAACTGGTCAATGATTATAGAACAATCTTCATACCCTTCTCTCCTCCCCCAGACTTCTCACAGAGAAGCAGTGAGAAACCATTTCATAGTGAAGTGAAACAACTAAGTCAGTTTTGGGATCTGAGGCCTCCACTCCCCCTAGGGAAGTGCCCTGATGGGCCAAGGGAAGAGGATAGAGGCCACCTTACCGTTAAGCCAGTGCCTGCATTTTGGGAAGCTGACTGGAATTTACACAGCAGTAACACTGGGCATTCCAGACATCTCCAAGCCCATAGTCACAGGCCTGACTACCCATTGCCCAAAGGGCCTCAAAAGAACAGTCTGCCTCTGCCCTTGCTGGTCCCAAATAACAAAGAAAATCAACTCACCATGATGTCTGGACCAGGTGTTGGTTACGCTCACACTCTAACACCTGAAGGTACATAACGATTATCTGGAAGATATGGGTCAGGAAGTTATTACCACGAATCTGGAGAACCAAGCACTCATTTCTGGGGCATCCATGCAGCAAGTAAGAGCCTCATCTAGATTCAAGGAGTAGGCTCCTGGTCACTGTGGAAGTGAGCACTGCTGACACTCCTGTGCCTTGCTCTGGCAGCCAACAACAAGCATGGGGGTGGGAGACAAGCTGCTCTTTGGCTGAAGGCCTACTGCTCATGGTCAGTCCCAGGCTTGTCTTCAGTTGTTTTTACCAATGACTATTACCCTGGTCCTTAAAACATCTACAGATCCCAATCACTGATTTGGTATAAAAGTGTGAAACTCAAGCAACAAAAATGGTATCGCCTGAAAAATATTCAAATAATGCTAAAAATCAAAAGACGACAATTAAAAAAAAAAAAGACAACAATTAAAAGAAGGAATAAAAAAGGAAGAAACCCACCAACAAAAGGAGGGCGAATTAAATAATGTAAACAGCAATCTTTTGTTAAAACACTTTGTTGACATTTAATGCAAGACTGAGCCACAGAATTGCAGGTAATATTCTGCACAACTGGTTCAGCTCATTTCTGAATACAAGGTTTCAGAATTCCTCCCATTCCCCTTGACAGGAGACTACTCCCCTAATACAACTTCAGAGAACAACTGTTAAGAAAATGCTCTGCCGGCAAATTCAAGTTGTATGCCGTTATTAATAAAGTCTAAATATAAAGATGCTATTTCCACAATCCATGAAAAACATTCTCAAAATGAATAAGCAACCTAAGAAGATTATAGAAATAGAGAATCAATAGCATAGGTATCATAAAGAAACCAGGTCCAAAGACAGATTTAAATCTTCTCCAGAGCGTTCACTCGCTGTGAAAAATGAAGAAATGAGGCAGCAAAAGCTGAAAAGTAATGCAGTGGACTGCACAATGAGCCCCATACCCACCTTGTGAGGGTGCTTCACGTGGACACAAAAGCCCAACTCTTTGAGAACTCGTCTTTCAGCCTTTATAATTTGGTTCTTTAGATTAACATAATCTTGATCTAAGATCAGAGGCACAGGTTTCCTACAAAGACAAGGCAAAGGCATGCAGCCTGAATGAGTCAACAAAAACAAGGAATTTCCAAATCCACTGTCTCCAAAGAGAAGACTTAGAAACACAAGGCAGGCATCACCAAAGAGCACATCCTCAAATCTCAATTACTAGCCTAGTACCCAAGTGTTACATCCCGTACCCCTCTCCTTAGTCATCTCCACCAAGGGAGTGCTTCACACACACAACTTAACACAGCACAAGGCCTCAGGTCCTCATCACAAAGGGATCAGATGTGCTTTCTGTGATCCAAAATATGCTATGTGCTTGAGCGTAAATGGAACACCGGGGAACCAACCAATCTATGTAGCAACAGAGCTGTTTTCCAAAGGGATTCCACCCACTTTAGGAGTGTAAAAACTCTAAGTGACTCTCAGCTGTTATTTTGCTAGGGACATATCCACCTGCTGCCCACAGCAAAAGATACCAATTAAGATGTACAGCTTCAGAAATCCAACAGAACCACCACTCTATTCTGGCCTATAATCTGATGAGTCAAATCATCTCAAGTGCAGTTAAGTTTGCTTTGGAGAAATTTTCTGCAAACAACTGGGGGCGCATAGACGGTAAATACCATGTTGATATCCTGCTAAGCACCAGATCATACACACAGGCAGTCCCGTAAATGCCAAAGTCTGTAACAGAGGTTGTAAGTGGTAGTAAACAAGTGCTAACTGGGGTTTTACTACCCTGGCAAAGCAGTAAGCCAACATGAGCAGAGAGCTCCAACATCAGGGCCTCTCTTCCCCCTGGGACAGGTCCCCTTGTCCACCACTACCTGGGCATGCGGTCCCTGTCCTCTCCATCCACTTGAGAACCTATGACTGAACAAGGCACCAGTTTAAAAACTTCAGATTCACGACGGGCACGAGAAGGCGTGCTGGCATCTCTAACAGAAGGCTTACTTTTTCTCTCGCAGGTGTCGCAGGCGATGAAACACGTTAATGACATCCCGGATCCGCCTCGGCGCCTCTTCGATTTTGGAAGCCAGATGTACGCAGGCCATCGACACATGCTACAACGGAAGCATCGGGGTACAGATGTTCACCCCGCCGCCGGTATGGCATCAGGACTAAGCCAGGTGATTAAGGATGAAGAGGGGCTGACAAAGGGCTTCGGGGGCCCCGCGGCGGCCACCTCCCTCCCGCCCTGCAGAAAGGCCCCTTACCTCCATGGAATGCTTCACAAACGACTTGGTATAGAAGAAGCGCTGGAATAACACCTGCCCAGTAGCCATGGCCACCTACGAAACAAAGTTTCCCATCATTTTTCAAACGCTCGGTTCTAGGGTTTCAGATGTTAAAATCACAAATCATCGGATGTTCTGTGCCTCGTAAAATCGTTTACCCAAAAAAAGAACTCGACATTTTCAAACAACTTAGGACGCCCGGCTACGGCGAGGAGAAGACAGGGAGGGTAATGGAAGACCGCGCTCCGGGGAGGACACAAGGACGAGGGCGGCGCTAGGCCTGGCCGCCAACAAAGGGCCGGCGCCGGCGGGCGGTTAACCCGGCCCGAGGCTCGCGGCAACTCCCTTACCTGCGGCAGGCGAAGCAGGATGCCGGCGGCCTGGATGAGCTCGCAGCCCACTACGCGGAGGTCCGTCTCCGTGTCGGTGTCTAGGCCGCTCGACATGGACGGCGTAAAGCGAAGCTTGTCGTCGGGAAGGAGGCAGTTCTCCAAAGTGATCAGCACTCCAGAGTACAGCCTGTCCCCTATCAGCACCCCCTGAGACCCAGGGGCTGCGCTCCCCGCGCCCGGAGCCCCGGCCGCTGGCGCGGGAGCCGCGGGCCCTGGGGGCCCGGACGCGGCAGTCGCCGTCGTAGCCGCCATTTTGTGCCGCCGACTTCCCTTCGGCTCCTTCCCGGCAGGGCGGCTCCTCCGGACGCTCTACGGCCGCTGCCCCGCCCCTCCACGAGCCATTGGCTTGGCCTGCAGGCGATCGGTTCTGACAGGCTGCGATTGGCTGTGCAGACTGTCTGTCAATGCGGCGCGGGTCGTCGACGCCCGGAATCTGCGTGAGCGGGGGCGGGCTCGTTACCCAGGGGGCGCTGCGGCACCCGGAACCGCGTCGCCGGCACCCCGGGTCCTCCTAGGACCGGAACCCTGGTTATTCCCGGCACAAGTCTGCACTGAGATCCAGTGATGCGCGAGTGTCCGCGTCCCCACCCTGGGCAGTGAAGGGGGGCGGTCCCGGAGCTTCGGCTTTTCTGAAGGATGGCGACGGACGAGTCCCCGACCCGCCTTCCCTAAGGGGAGCCGCCGCCTGGTCCAGGGGGCGCAGGAAGCTTCGTTCTAATGGACGAGAGCGTGATGGGGAAACATATATATGCACACTTGTTTATTGCATCATTACTGGCAAAGAGTTGGAAATAACCTTTGTCCATTAATGGAGGAATCTCTACGGAAACTATAGTTAATTCACACAAAACAGTATTGAGCATCACTTAAAAACTATAATAGATTATGCTTAGTAACATGTTGTTGATTGCCTCCGAGTCGAGCACAACTCAGTGACCCTATGAACAAAAGGCTTGAAGCCCCTCTACAACCATCGACAGTTATCAAAGTTTATATAAAGTTTACGGAGGCATGTTGTTTAGGAAGAGGATGTCACTCCTACTTCCAAAGTTTGGTAACGTTGTTATTATGTGTAGTTGAGTCGCTTGTAACTCATAGCGACCCTATGTACAACAGCCCTAAACCCTGCTCTGTCTAGTGTCAATCGCACTGTCTCCGACACACGCATCCCGGTTACCCCAGTCACTGAACTGAGTCAATACACCTCATAGAGGGTCTTCCCCTCCTGCGCTGTCCCTCCACCCTCCCAAGCATGATGTCCCTCTCCAAGGACTCGTCCCTCCTTGCAACATGGCAAAATATGTCAGTCGAAGCCTCAGAATCCTTGCCTCCAAGGAGCCGCCCGGTTTAACCCTTTCCAGGATGAATCTGTTTGTTTTCTTAGCAGTCCATGGTACATTCAATACTCCTCCAGCACCACAGCTCAAAGGCATCAATTCTCCTGCCCTCCCTAATCATTGTCCAACTCTCTGATGCATAACAACTGATTGCAAAGACCATGGCCTCTACCAGGCACGCCTTAGTCTGTAGAGTGACACCATTGCTCTTCAGTACTTTGGAGAGGTCCCTAACAGCAGACTTTTCCATCATAATACGTCGTTTAATATATTCGAAGTTGGTAGTGGAAAGGGTCAGTGGCTGGGTACTTACTCCCCCCAACTATATCAGAAATTTTTCTGATAGCCAACATGAGATCCTTGCAGGACTGCTATCACAAAGAAGCAGACTGTGCATTTTTCTCCTGTGGAATTTGCAGATGGATTTGAACTGCATGCCTTTAGGATGACAATGCAACTCCTTACCCCTAAGCCACCAAAGAAATAAGTGTTTGTCATCTGAGCCCAGGCAGTGCATCCTGGAGGCAGCAGGGTAGTTCTGATATAAGCTAGGATGCAGGTTCAAGAACTGGGAAGCCAGGTTCAAGATGGCCCAGCCCCACACCTTGTAGGGGAGACAGGGTCAACATTTAAAAGGTTGGCATAAAACCCAATCTACAGATGATCTAAGACTCCAAGGGGGGAAACTGAATGCTCAGGGGTATCCTACAACCTGGGCCTTTGTGGGCATGCTGGGCAAGTACACTCCTACAGAGAAGCCATGGGGACAGGTCACTCTGAAGGCACCCATGAGGGGCTGGACACACCTCTCAGACCAGGGTACTCCAGGCAAATGCTTTCCTCACGATGCCCTATTGACTGTCTGCCAGAAACACAATTTACAAAGCAGAAAATAGTACAATCTTTATTGTCACAATTTATATAAGACAGGTTTATTTGTGAACCCATCCCAACAGGAGGGAAGACAAGACCTTTATTTCACACTTGAATAACATATAAATAAACATCTGTAAGTTGACTTACAAACTGTTGGTTACACTTTGCTCTTACTCTTTAATAGCTGTGAAAAGAAATTCTCGTAAGTCACAAGATGATGAGAGCGCCAATGGGAACAGGGCCCTCAGTAGCAGTGCACCACCCGGGAGAACACGCCTTGTGGCTCCTTCCCGTCCCCCAAGGCAGCAGCAAATCCCTCCTCTCGCCTCCTTTTGGCCAAAGCTGCCAAGGATTTGAAAGTCTTTGGTTCATAGATGGCCAGGTCTGCAAGCATTTTCCTGTTGAGCTCCACCTGGCACTGAGAAAGAAGGCAGCAGAAACAGAAGTCAGAAGTGCACATCCACATGCTTAGGGAGATTATATGGTACCCCACACGTGACTCCTCATGCAAGTGCATTACTTATGACACGTCCACATATATGGACTGCACAAGAGGGAGGGTCCTAAAGGGATCAGAGGTAGGGAGACCCACAAGACAAAGCCGTTCAAAGATACTGAAAAAGCTACAGGACTTGGGGAGGCAAGTGGGGCCTGGTCCTGAAAGCAGGTATTTCATTCAGGGTCCACCGAGACTGCCAACCTAGGATTAACCCTTAGTCAACTAAGAAGAGAAAAGTATAGCTCCTACTTTTATAAACACCAAAGACAAAATGGTACAAGGCCAGGACAGTAGCAGGCAGTGAGGAGACACATGCTGAGCACCCTTATTCCTGCAAGGTCCCTGAACTATCAACTATATAAAACCTTCAACTACTTCAGAAAGAATAAACACTGCCTTGAATTCTAAAGACAAGAAAAGGGTGATGATGAGGTGGGCCTAGCTTGCTTCATTAAAGCCGTGCGTCCTTGAACAAGAGGACTCTGTGAGCCTCTGTCCTAATCAGTCACATGAGACGTCACCTTTTAACATCCATGAGGATCAGTCACATACCAAAGGTGGGGCCTTGTTAGATGTAGCGTTTACCCTGTAAACTTTATTTTCTCAATTAATTTCTTTTCTTTTTTTTTTTTTAATATGGAACGCTTCACCAATTTGCGTGTCATCCTTGTGCAGGGGCCAAGCTAATCTTCTCTGTATCGTTCCAATTTTAGTATATGTGCTGCCGAAGCGAGCACAATTAATTTCTTTTTTATGTAACGTGAGTGAAGGTTTATACAGCAAGTTAGTTTTTCAATCATTCATACACATTATTTTACATTCATATCAATTACCACAATTTAATCACTTTTCCCATTTCTTCCCTGTATGTCCCCATATAAAAAAAGTTAAATGTACACAAAAACAGAGGGAGTCACCCAGATACAACAATTACCGAGGTGATGCCTTACTTACCTAATCTATCCTTTGGTTATATGTATTTCAACTTCACCTGCAGTGCTAAAACTCTGAAGTTAAAATTCAGAGTCAAGGGTTTTGTCCTTCTTCTAGAATATGGAAAAACACCAGGCTCACAGCTGTCCCACATAGCATCGACAGAGCAGGGGAAAAATAAAGAGTTGTGAGCCTGGAGCCTGCCAGACCCTAGTGAATACAGAGAGCAATGATGGGGTGCAGCAAATAACTCTGACTGCTGGTGCTGCCAGCTGGTCGCATCCCAGATCTGAATTTCTACAGTCACCCAGCTTTCACACAGGGCCCCATCCTCACCATACCTTAACTAAATTGCTGACGAAGGCTGGGTACTTCAGGCCATGCTCCTGGGAAGCAGCTGTGATGCGATTGATCCAAAGCTAAATTAAGAAAACATTAAAAAAATAAATAAATAAAACATAAAAGCACCCGTGAACTAATTCTGGGTTACGTGCATACCTCCCAGCAAAAACCCTAAGAAACTAAAAGCTGTTTTTCTCTGAAAATAAATAGAAAAACGAATATTTTCTCCTCAAACAATGATACTCATTCAAACCACTTTAATTTCTAAATGTTATGGAGTGAATTTCTGAAAGGTACTGCAATGATTCAACACACACTTTTTTGACTGCCATGTCAGAGCCTAACAAACTTTCAAAAAGTGGCTTTGGAGAGTAAACAATCAATCTTGAGAGAAGTCAGAAAGGTCTTTGGAGACACACACTGCAGCCTGGATGAGGCTAATCTGAAGCTAATGAAAGATCTCGAAGACTGTGGTCCCAAAGCACATTTAGAAGTTAAGAGATGAAAGATGGCAAAGGCTAAGTCAACATGCCATTAGATGGCTGGGACACAGCATAACCGAATTAACAAGGATTCACTGACATACAGCTTAGTCTATTAAATTCTTAAGCATCTTGAATCTTAAAACAGTATTTAAGCTCTTCATAGGTAACTGTTGAAATCTTTCAAGTTTTGGTTTCTGCCCTCACATGCTGCAGAGAACCCCCAAAGGGTTTTTCATTATTTTATTATTTTGTGTGTGTGTGTGTACCGTCAAATCAGGACTGGTACAGGAGGAGATTGCCCCTCCTTTTCCAGCAGAGCATCTGATGGATTCGAACCGCATACCTCTGGGATTGCAGAGCAGCTTCTTGCCACTAGGCCACCAGAGCTCCCTAACCCCCAAAGGGTTTTATGAAGAGCAGAGATGTGAGCTGTAGAGGATGTGTGCTAGGCTGAAGTAGAGACCAGCAAGCAAGCTCTGAGACCGTGGTGGCTGGATGCTGGCTGGCAGCAGTGAGGCTGGGAGACAGACAAAATTTGCCTCCACGAACTTGGTCTATAATCAAAAGGCTGTCAAGTCAAACTGACCAGCCATTGAGATGGCTTGTGTAGGATTTTCAATCTTGAAAATCCAACAGATGATTCTCTGACCTACACTCACTATGCACAGAACCTATTCATTGGCAGTGGATTTAGCTTTCTGGTTTAGATGTGAACTAACAAAGGGGTAGAAGACAGTGCGGATCCACTGCTTTTAGCTCCAGCAAATGGAGTTGGAGAAGCCACTGCCCATCGAGTTGTCCGGTAAGATCAGGAGTGTGGCTTTATGAAGACACTACTATAAAAAAGCATTCCAGCAGTTCAAATCCACCAGATGCTCGGCTGGAGAAGGAGGGGGCAATCTCCTCCTGTACCAGTCAGATATGATTTGACGGTGCACGTAAAAATAATACAATAAAACACACACACACACACACACAACCTTCCAATGCGGAGGCGAAGACTGCAGCCTGGAATTGAAGGAACGGCCGCACTGCCTTGCAGAGAGCGGTTTCATTGACGTGCAGGTGCAGCCGTGTTGTGTTGGGTGCACGGGGGTCCCCCTCTTACCGTCCTCATGTTCCTCTTCTTCAATCGCCGGGCGTTTGTGCATTTCACAAAGGCTCGAATCACAGCCCTTACAGCCAAACTGTAACACCGATTCTTCCTACCTCGGAAATGCTGGATGAAAAACACACAAACGGAAAACTGAGTATGCTCCTGAAGCCGGCGCACCTGGGGGTTCTGGGCCTCCCGGGCCCCGCCTGGGTGCCACTATGCGGCCCAGGTGTGTGCAGTGGCCGGCGATGGAGAGGGTGGGAGGGCGCCCAGGGCCAGAGCGCGAGCGGCTGGTACTCACCCGGGCGTGCTTCAGCACCTCCTGGATCCGCCAGTAACGGTCTGTGACGCGGCTTCGCAGCCACAGCTGCGTCGTGAGGAAGACCATGGTGGCTGCAGGTCAGCAGGCCGCCAAAACTCAAAGAGAGCTCGCCGCCATATTGCGGCAGACGGAAATGGCCGTGAGAGTAAGTCTTTCCGGGTCATGCCTATACCAGGCCAGTGCTTCCGGGGCGTGAAAAGTGTCATTTGCTGCTAGGTCCCAGCTATAAGCTTCCGTTCGTACTATCTTTGCTGTCTTCTCAAATTCGCAGTTTCCTTCCTTCCTTCCTTCCTTCCTTCCTTCCTTCCTTCCTTCCTT